TTAGAAATCATGGTATTATGTTATAATGTTTATTTATTTATTTATTTATTTTTATTTATTTATTTATTTTATCGACGCCTCAGAGGCATAAGTATAGTACAGATTATAATTATGGATTATACATAATATAACAAGGTAAGAAAAAAAGAACATTGGTGCATGAGTAAAGAATAAATTAATGAAAATATTAACAAGTACAATTTTTAAGTTTAAGAATTAATGATGGCAAAGAATCATTAAAAATATCAATATTTGACATACTATTAATAGATCGACAAGCACGATCAAGAGGGGCTGCGTACCCATAGTTAGTGGTGTGAAAATTCGTTTTAAAAGTTTGGGGATTTCTGGAATAAAAAGAAGGAACTGCTAAAGATAATTTAGCAAGTAAATCAGGAGCATCAATATCATTGTTCAATAATTTGTAAATAAAGGTAACATCAAATTCAACACGTCTATCAGTTAGAGATTTAAAAGTATACGGGTTAATCCCGCACCGAAAAGTGCTCATTTTTATAAATTTATTTTGTACTTTATTTATACGATTAATATGTAATTGTTGATGGGGTGACCAAATAATAGCAGCGTATTCAAGGTTACACTGAACTGTGTAACTGTTGTGTAGTATAATAAATAAATTTACATTTTATTGCTTTTGATTAAAAAATATAATGCTTTATCTATTTAAGAACTTAATCACTTAAAAGAGGTAAAAGTGATATATTGACAGTGTACATTGTTACAAACTAAGAAGTTAATGTTATCTAAAATTAAATTAATATATAGTTCAGCCTTAATAATGCTCACGTGATGAATCTGATAATAAAATATTTATATATATACAATTTTTTTTATTATTTACCTGAAACTTCAACATTTCAGTTTATTATAGTATTTGATATTACATTACATCATTTATTTATATATAATAATAATAATTATATATATGAACATAGTAATAATATAATTTTTTTAATTTGCAAGTCAAATCTGGTTTTTTTGAAGGAAGAGTCTGTAAATTCATATAACTTTAAGTTGATTTTGAGTTTGAATGTTGTTTCTTTATAGATAAGTCGATTATTTGTCAAGGTATTTTCCAACCTATTGATTATCTATACTTATATCAGTAGAAATAACTAAAATAAGTTAAGACAATAGTAGTCCAAAATTTTGATATAAGCATTTTAAATTCAAATTATAACAAGGTTCATCATAATTATGAACTTTTGAAACTTTTTTGATTACACATATTTTATAAAATCTTTGATTTGCTCAAGGATTGAAAATTTAAAAATACGTTTCTCATAAATTTATCATGTTGCTGTAACCAAAAAATTAAAAAATTGTGCAAACACAAATTTCCTAACATTTATTTTAAATTCAAATTTGAAGGAAATTAGTTATTTAAATGGAGAATAATTGTGTTGGTTATTTGTTTGTAATTTAAAAATAATATTCTAGGATACTTACTTGAAACTTTTAAAATACAACAAATTAAGAATTTAAACTAACAAACAATTAATTCAACTTACTGTTTTACTAATAGCTTATTGTACCTCTTTACCTGATAGTTATAATATCACAAAATGTATACTAATATAGGCCACATCTTCGCTCATAATCGTTTTTGAGAAAACAATGATTATTTAATTCAAATTTAACTTAACCACTGTAGTGACCGACACGACACTTTATGCACAGCTGTAACTTCATATTTGTGCTTTTTGTTCTAATATCGTATGATACAAAAAAATTAAGATTAATAATGATTTTATTTGCTTGCCATGTTTCGTAATATTATTAGAATAGTATTAACTATCTGTAGGTAAGACCAGCTACTTCAGTATTTTTTTTTCAAGAATAACACCAATTGTCTATTATCTATAACAGCTCTAAAGAAGCACGTGCGTGCTATGATAGTGTAACTTATAGTTGTTGAGTTTTAATGGATTTAACAATATTTAATGATATTTTGTTAGCTTTTACTAATATTACGAGTATCTACTAACAGTACTATTGAAATAAAATCTGGAGATGTTGTTTGCTCTTTTAAACTGTCTAGACAAAAGATACCTACTTAATACAAAAGTAAAATGACTGTGCCCCTTGAAAACATTTTAAATATAAAATACCTAAAATATCTTAATAAGTAACATACAAAAAGAAAATATTTTTATGAAGTCCAGAAACTTGTCTTCTCTTAGAATCCTTTTTCAAAGATCAGTCATTGAATTTAAATATAATACATACATCGCATGATACATTACTTAATAACGAGGTATACTCGACATATAATAACCTACTGAGCTGTAGAATGGTTACTTACTTTCCTCTTTTTTTTAAAATATAATAGTTCATTTTAATCGTACGCACCCATTTAAGTGAAAAGTCTGTTAATTTTTTAGTATTAGAGAAGATATAAACATATTTCAGGTGTAGGCAAAAAATTACAAATAATTTTTAGTTGTTTGCTTGCATTAAATAAAAATGTATATTAAAAGTGGTAGGAAAAAGTGATGTAATCTATTACGCAATTAATATCCATCGATGAAGTAAAATAATTTCATTCAATGCATAGACAAATCTATTGTATAAATTAAATAAAATAATTATGTTATATAAATCAATTAAACTAATATTTCGAGTCAATCAATTTGTATAATAATTTATTATACGTTAATCAGGTTAAGATAAGCTAAGCTTTATGCATATCATTTATAACTATTTTCTAGTTTTGATACATCATAATATTACAGTAAAAAGGTCTAAATAAAATATTGTATACTACTTTATATACAAACAAGATAAGAATAATATGATTATCCTATGTTACAGATATCTAACAAAGTATATGATAAAAAGTGTTTTGTAGAATTAAAGTTTTAATGATAAAGTATGACAAATTATAATATTTTACTACATCATCACAAATTCAGGTAATTTCATTATTTAGATCAAACCACCAAAAAACATGAACATTTGTATAATTCCCATCGGTGTATTGGTATCACTAGAAAATTATTGTACACTACATTTCAGAGCAAAACATGTATTTGTCATTTTATTATTTTTTAATTGTTGGTAATTTAGTCACTATGAAACTATTATAACAGATAAGTGCTTCCTTATTTGTATTAACCAATGTTTCATTCATTGGTGTATTGTACCAGAATCCAACATAATTGTTGTGTTCAATTCCGTTGTTTTCATAGTTAGATACATCGTTGATTCTGCTTTAATTTTAAAATTGTGTGTATTGAGTGAGATTAATTAAAATCACATTCTTAAATTATAACAATTAAAAAAATTCAAATGAAAAATTTTTATTTTTCATTTCTTACATAATATACAACAATCGAACTTTAAACAATCATCATTAAAATCATATCAATCCAGTTATGTTCAACAAGATGAGAACAATTCCATACAAGACTCTAGAAACCACAGATCAAACTTTTGGGGCCGAGCAATATGCAAAAAATTCAACCCTCATGTGGTGGTGTCATGGTAATAACAAAAAGGTTTCGATTATTTATTTTTTATTATTAATAATTTGAAATGTGAGGGATGCATCGCATGTACGAGTTATTCATCAGGTGAGCTAACACACCTCGTAAATAATATAATATTCAAATGCTAATTATTGCAATTTTCATTTTTATACTAAAAGACCTAAATATTTTCAAATATTTAGTTATTTATGTTATCAACTAGATCATTGACAACACAATTTTATTTTTAAAAGGATAACCATCCATTTTTACTATATAATTTTATTGATTTTTTTGAAAATAGTAATACGTTTAATTTGGAATAAGGGCAAGTAGTTTTTGAGTTGTTTGATTAGTATACTAACCTTAATTCTGTCGCCAAAACTATTGCCCAACTAGTTAACAATAAAAATAACACATACAACTGGTATAACTGAGCAAAATGTTATTGTTATTCTGGAATTTGTTTTGGTTTTTTCAAAATGATTTTCTACTATAGATACTCAGAAAAAACTAGTGGCTTTCAAAATACCAACTACTGATTAGGTAAAAACATGTTATCAAAAACAAAAAACATTTAGATTCAGCAATCTATTAGAGCAAAAAGGAAGCAAAAAATATGATGCAATGCGTCATTCTTAATTGGTTATATATTTGCATGTTAGTACCTTACCAAATAAAAATGTATGGTAGATACAAACCCCATGAATAAAGGGGAATAAGTACATTTTTTCAATTCCTCGTTCATTTCTTATTGAAAACTGTTTACGGATAGTTTTCACGTCTCAGTTGTTATCACTAAATTAAAAATTACCACAATATATTATTTCTCGTCTTGAATTAAATCGGGAAAATCCAGCAATAAGCTGTGGCAATGATTATTTGTCAACCTGTTTTTTTTTTAATTATTAATATCAGTAAGTACCTGAATAAAACTTTATTTTTGGGATTTACTGCTGAAGTGGTTAATGTCGGGCACGAGGACGATTAACTCATAAGTGTTACAAATACCTGAACACGTTTAGCTGTAATGGCAACTGGCTGATGAATTCGAAATGATTTTGGAAATGATTCTACCCTACCACTGAGTGAATATAAACTTGGATGTATATTCAATCGATTATAATCGATTAGACGTTACTTTCATATGATACGCTCATTATTTAAATAAAATAGGTATTTTTACCAACTTTTAAATGTAATTATTGATTTGGTAAATCTTGTGTACGATTACGAATAAGCTTAGGCCTGCACGGGAGAATGTACTCGGAATAAGTACAAAATACTTTTAATCATTTAATCATATTATTATCTTCACGCGTGTGCATGATGAAAATAGAACAATAGTTAATACATTAATAGTTTTATATCCTAATAGGTACCTGTTATTGTGTTTATAATTATATGTACCTATTTATGTTTATGGTTTTTATCATTATTCAATGATTAAGTTCTTAAATAGATCATCCTTTTTATGATCAAAAAAATACGATTTATTCATATAAATTGAAAATATTTTTTCTGGACAATACAGTTATTGTAACGTTGCACTACTGCACACATCTCACAGTTAGTTCTAAACGAAAAGTACTTAAACATATTATTAATTTCGTGTTATTGTACATCATAATTGTAATTGTTTAATTAATTATTGTGTTGAGCTGTCTTGTAATTGCTGTAAGTTTAAAATTTAATATACATAATATTATAACTTTACTAGTACACTATTTAACCATTTTCTATTTCTTTAACTAATAACCTAAAAATTACTAAAAATTTGAATAATAAAGAGTAGAACGTTATAAATTAGTATTAATTGTACGTATTTATAATTTTAGGTAAAACGTCCTATTTTTAAAAAATATGAGGGCATTTGATTTATTGTTGTTTGTGGTGATGGCATATACATGCGCCACCGTGAACGCAAATGTATATTTTCAAGCTAAAACTCCAAATAATGAGTGGTGGGCGAACTCCATAACATATCAAGTGTATCCAAGATCGTTTAAAGACAGTAACAACGATGGCGTTGGTGATTTAAAAGGTATTTATATATTCAGATGTCGATTAATAATAATTCTGATTAAAAAATGAACACAAGTTTTCATTTATTTCATTCTAAATCTGCAGGTATTATCCAGAAACTAGATCATTTCACTGATCTTGGTATTGAGACATTATGGATTGGTCCACTTTTCAAATCGCCTATGGATGATATGGGATATGATGTAGAGGATTTTAGAATGATAGACCCAATATATGGAACACTAGCTGATTTCGATAACCTGGTTTTGGAAATGAAAAAACGAAGTAATTATCATTTATTAGTTAGAATAACAACAAATTATTACGTATTGTGATAAATACCTGTAAATAATTTTTTTTTAGATCTTAAATTAGTAACAGACTTCATACCTAACCATTCGAGCTATAAATGCGAGTGGTTCAAGAAATCAATCAAAAGACAAGGAAAATATACAGATTATTACATTTGGCGTGACGCTTCAAACCAAGAGGAAGTCTTAAGAAATTCAACAATAAAACCAATACCTCCAAATAATTGGGTAAATAACATTTATTTACTTTCAAATTCCTGATATTCAAAAATTAAATATGATTTCAGTTTTAAAAGCGTTTTATTAAATGTTAATTACAATGAAAAATATTTACAAAATTGTAATAATCTAGTCTTACCAGCCCCGTAATTTTGAACATTTATAATTGTATTAGAATTTTTGAAATTAAAGAATAATTTATTTTATAAAATATTAAATGAAAATCGTTCTTCTTAACAGTTGAGTGTATTTGGTGGTACTGGCTGGGAATGGAATGATGAACGACAACAATTTTATTACCATCAATTTAATTCAAAACAACCCGATTTCAATATCAGAAATCCAGATATTCACAAAGAAATTTTGGTAAGTACCTAAATCAAAAATGATTAATAGGACGAGACACACACACATTTTTTTGTTGCTTTATGGGCATGCAAAATAAATATAATGTAAAATTACTATACTATACTAAATATAAGTTCAGAGTTTTCTGTATGCGTATATTCTTTGATTCAGAAATTCAACTATTTTCAAACTTATATATTGGTGATATAGTCGTTATTCGGTATTTTGATTTTTAAGTGAAGTTTAAGTAATTATTTGATAATTCATCTGGTTATAAATTAAAATATCAAACTTATTATACGTTTGATTTCAAAAGTGTTTTTTGTACTTTATCATTAAACGTTAATTATTGTGCATTTTTATTTCAGGATATACTCGCTTTTTGGATTGATAGAGGCGTTGTTGGCTTTCGATTTGATGCTCTTCGACATTTATATGAAAGTGATTTATTCCTTGATGAACCTTGTCTGACAAACGAAGTTGAATGTAGAATAAACCATGATAGTTTAAATCATACTTATACAGTAGATCAGCCTGAAAACATTGAAATTATTAGGGAATGGAGAGAATTTGTCGATGGTTATATGAAAAGTAAAAACATCTCAATATCTAGGTAAATCATTTTTATATTTTAATTTAGCTTTAAAAGAACAACATAAATACATATTTTGCTTTATCGAGATCCACAACATTATATTAATTCATTTTTATATTTAAACAGCTACATAGCCACCGAATCTTACTCGCCGATAAATGTATTAATGGAATACTACGGCAATTCAACAAGATCCGGGGCTAATGTTCCATTTAACTTTGGACTTTTATCTGTTGATAAACGTAATATAGTTGAATCCATAGACACGAAAGTGAAAAATTGGCTAGACAATATGCCTGCAAACCAAGTGGCTAATTGGGTGGTAAGTATTTTAAAACAATATAATACTTTTAAGAAAATATAGAATATAGAATATGATATAGGTACAGCACTAAAATCGTATTGTTTAAATATGCCATTCAATATTATTTCAATAAGTTTAAACGTTCATAAAGTTTATTATTCAATGACAATAACGTTAAATCATACATTTCATTTCAGGTGGAAAATCATGACAACCCGAGGATGCCGACTAAATTTGGTCCTGAAATGGTACCACTCTTTACAGCTTTGAAATTATCACTTCCTGGTATAGAAGTTACATACTATGGGAGCGAAATTGGCATGGACAATACGTATGTGAGGCCAGACCAATCACAAGATCCAAACAATGCGGGAGGTGTGAGAGCTGATGAATCCAGAGACAATGAAAGGTGTCCAATGCAATGGGATAGTTCAATAAACGCAGGTAAAACATAATTACACATTTTGCATACAAATTTTCGGGAAGTGTTCACAGTGTTTAACCCATATTGGATGTTATTTGGTTATTTAATTCTATTTTGCTTTGACTTTTATCATGAAATATTTTTTAGTTGTTAACTAGTAGGGTTTATTAGTTAAAATTGGTTACAGAAATAAAATAGACTTATAATTTTTATAATATATGTGTATTTTGAAACAAATTATGTAATGTTGATGTGTATTTACTCGAAAATTCGATTTTGATTAAAATTACTGATTTTTTTTGTGTTAGAGATATTTGACAAATGTATAGAGTAGTTTGAACCACAAAAATATACCATTTTGTAATATGTCTAATCCGACAAAGTCAAAATTTCCATCTCAGTAGAATTATTAGTTTACAAAGGTACTTACACTTAAACAGTTAAACCAAGATCCACGTCTTATTAACTAACGTTGTGTCTTAAATTCTGTGTTCATTTTTTCCTGGATAAAGGGTGGCTATATAGCTAATAATGCACATTTTAAATTTGATTACGAGTCATTAAATCCACCAATCTTGATTGATAAATCTTAAATGCTCGATATAAATTTTATATTTATAATTACTTTTAATGTGTTTCAAAGGTTTCACTGAAAATAAAAAGGCATGGTTACCAGTAAATCCAAATTATTATAATGTAAACGTCGAATCGCAGAAAAAAATACCAACTAGCAACTACAATTTTTACAAAAAAATGTCTCAGCTTCGGAAAACCGATACATTGAAAAACGGCGATCTTCAAACATATAATATTACTAAATCCATATATATTTTAAAGAGGTAATAACAATTTAATGAAGTATTATGGAGTGTATATATTCTTAATCGTTTCGTTGTTTAGATCATTATTGGAACGCGAATCGTACGTTGTCGTAATGAATTTCGGCAGTGAAACTGAAACCGTTGTATTGTCCAATGTCATGAAGAACCTCAAAGACGAACTTTACGTATACTTAGGAAGTGAAAATTCTGCATATGATACCGGGTAACTAGAATTTATCACTTAAAAAAAATCAATGATGACTCTTTACAATTAACACTTTTATGTTATATTATTTATTGTAATTTATGTTTATAGAAGTATTGTATCAACCGTTTCTTCAACTGGTAATTCACTAACACTGCGACCACAATCTGTAGTCGTATTAACAGATAAATATATTGCACCTGAAACACCAACAATTGGTACTCAAAATGCGGCCACACAAATGGGTTCCACATCAATTAGTCTACTCAGTATTCTTATACTATTAAGATATTTCTTATGAATTCATCTCTCATAATTGTATAGTAAATTTTCTCGTTATAACTCATTTTAATTTTAATTGTATCGATAACTTTGTTGTATATATAAATTTATCAATAGCTTTGTTGTATAATATATAATTTTTTTTCATGTATATTTAATAAAGTCCTTATTTATGAACAAATTAAACAACTTATTTAACTATTTTAATAATTTACTAAAACTTTTGCTAAAAACTGTGGTATCTACTAGTTGTGGATGGTTATACTTATGGTTGCCCTTTTTAAACATCAAAGTTTTTCCTCATTATATTCTTCAAAACGACATATATTTCATATTCTTTTTGGAGCTATTATTATTTTAATACAATACGAGTAGAATTGTTATATTTTTTGCCAGTAGAGTATTTTTCTTAGAAAATCGGAATATTTCATTAACAATATTGTTCATCCCTCATCTTTCAAAAAAATCTAAACTTCTAAAATCCAAAGTTATTCATAATTTAATAATAATCTAGTTAATAAAGACAACACATATTTACAAGTAGCATTTAGATTGGTAAAAATTATTACTTGGCCATTTTTATGATTTCTGTTATAGTATAGGGCAACCAACATAAACATCTACAATAGCTACAAGGATAAACACAATGATATTAAAAACGAACATTTTTAGAAATATATTTTATAGTTTTTATAATTTGATATAAGTTATAAAGACAGCTAAAAACCGATGAACATATTATATTACGCATTTGATTTCACCTATTAATGCATGTCAAAAAATTAAATAAAATTATTATAATCATAATTCAATTTAGGTTTTTGTTAATATTACACGAGATGCAATTTACAAGTATTACGGTTAGATAAATTTTCAATAGTGTCGTAGAGGCTCCTGTTATGTAAAAATTATATGAAATACAAACAGCTAGGGTTGCAAAAATTGAGTTACGTTTTGTAACATGAATTTATACAAGTAGTTTTAATTATTGTACTTGGTAAATAGTGTTAAGACTGGTATTTTTGTTTTTCATTATTATGCATTAAATTTGAAAAAAAATATAAAAGTGATAAGTTTTTTGGAATGGTTTTTTTCGTTCAATTTCTTGTTTATACATTTTTACTATTGGGTAGTGAAAGCTGGCAAAAGGGAGCGCAGGTTCTTTATTCTTTCCTTCCTGTTTCCTTCCGGATCCCATTTGAACGTTGAGCCTCTCTTGTTAGACCCTTCTGCAAATGTCAACCCCAGCAATAGGCAATATTGTAATATTTCGTTTGTACGTTGGATCACAAATTTCTCTCCCTTTCTGCGTCCTTCTGTTTATTTCTGTCAGTTTCTTTTCTTTTTTTTCTTTCGGTTCGATTTTCTCTTGTCTGTGAAACTCTGGAGTCGTAATAAATAATGATTAAGACCAACGCAATTCATTGCATTGTACAACACGAATAATTGTTAAACGGAAATATTATGCCGTTTATTAATTGGTTTTAAATTCAATTTGTAACATAGTTCTTATTTTTCTATATACGAGGAACAGTGAACACGTGTTTGTAGTGTGCTTATTGTATTCGCGGTTTACGTGTGAATCGTTAATAGGATTACTGAAACATGGTATCGTTACCCCTTTAGTTTCTTCTACCCCACTGGGATATTATTAAATAGTTTTTTTTCCCCCATCGCCATTGAAATAAACAAGCAATGACAAGGTGATTGATCATCGTGTGGGTTTGTTTCCTTATTGGATTTGATTAAAAAGCATGTTTTTTTTATTAACTTAATAATATTCCGAATTAAGACTGTAAATACATATTTTGTTGTAATGTTAGCATGTTTTTTATCATTATTATTATTTTTTGATTAATATTTGATTAACCTATCAGTATCTCGAATTAAGTATGTAGATAATCCACATTTTAATTAAAGTTCGTAAGAATACAAATTTACAATAAAAACATTACATAATATAATATTAATATCATATAAGTTAGGTTATTTTAGTTAATGTTTTAGTTTTTTTTCATAAATAACGCTAAATTGTTTTCGCTGGGTTCAAAAACTTTAAGATTGAATATAAGTTTCTCATTAGTTTTTACTATAGCTATTTCAAAATATAAAGAAGTTCAGATGTTGGCAAAATCACGTAAATATGAAAATAATTTTCTAGCTAAAAATGTATAACACGTCATTTTGATGTAATATTCTAGCAAGGATTGAAACAAGGCTACTAAAACTTTAAATAGTATATACTTTATTTTACACCAAAAAATCAAAAAAAATTTTTAGTCAATACAGATAAATAATTAAATAGAATATAAACGAAAAAATATTACTTTATTTAATAATTTATAAATAAAAATATGTATGGCTAGTATGAAATAAAATGATTGGTACTTATGCATGTAATTCATCTTTAACAAAATATTTAGTTATAAATAAAAAAAAAAATGAAAGCTGCACACTTACAAGGTGGTATCTCTATGTCTGATTCAGATTCCAATTTAAAAAAATGATTTAACTCCTTATCAATAATTAAACTTTTTAGTAAGCAAGTGTATTCTTAAGTAACTTAATTAATGTTTTCTTCGTATTATTTGTTTAAACATTTAAAGTTAAATGTATTGATTTTTAGTATTCAGTATAATAACTATGATAACTGAACATTCTGTACGCTGACTTTACGTTTAACTAACCAACTGACTTCTAAACTAGTTTAAGTTAATTGTTTTTATCAACAAGTGATACCTTATACTCTAGATACCATAAATTCACAAATTAGTGAAGTTATGGTTGTATTATTGTTTATCGTTATAATGTTATAATATTATGTTATAATTGGTACTCCATAAAAATGTCAGCGACTTTGTAATATATTAAAAATCATCAAAAACTACTTTTTTGTCAGAAAATTGGGCAAAAACTTTCTTATACCAAGACTGCTTGATTCTGAAGTACTTATACTAATAAAACAAAACACACGCAATTAAAATACAAACACTTTATTACTGTTTTTCGTTTTACATTTTACAATGACCGCGTTACATGAATATAATCACTTTCCAAGGACCCCTTTAAATCTGTTATTCTATATTCTTATCTCTTATAGTTTTGTTATATTTTTATAATATTATCATCATAGCTTAACTTGGTTTTTATAATGACTAGATGCCCAAACCAATAAATACCGCGTAGATAGCGCTGTATGATTCATATTATAATATTAGATGAGTATTGACATTCTATCAGAAATATACTTTTAAGTTATAATAATATGTATAATAGTTACAAACAAGCAATTAAATGATTAAAAAGTGTCGATTAAAATATGTAAAAATAAAAAAAGTCATCAGGAAATTGTTTTTAAAAAAACTACTGTCATCTGGCTCTAGCAAATCCAAGTTGATAACACTTTTTATTTGTTCAAATGGTTTACACAGTATGTTGTAAGTGCAGTTTTTATCTGCCCCCTAACATTTATCATAAATAATTACTGGTTCATATCAACTACAACAATATGATGATAAGAATTGCATCAAAAATAAATTAAATTCTGCAGAGATGAACATTATATTAAATTGATCTGGTCATAATTTCAAAAAATACAGAATGTAACTTTTAAATTATTTTATTTAATTTGCCAAAAATTAAAACGTATATTAGTATAAATAAACGTAAGAAAATAATACCTACATGGCTGGATAATATTTTATAAGATGAAAAATTGTTTATGATATGAACCTATCGTACATATCAACCAGTAACATTGAAACCGCGTAAGTATTGTGACGAATGTAACCTAACCTACCCGGATATACATCATGTACTCATTAGTCATTACAGTTCTACATAACATAATACATTTAATACACACAGCTATTGTACATCAGTTTTATGCTTTAGCACCGCACTTAAATGATTATGCAGCCTCCTGCAAGTGGAATTTTATTTATTATCCATTTTGAAATAGCCGGCCTTTAACGTCGTCCCGACGACAGTTCATCAACTCATTTTCGAGTGTTTGATAGACGCGCCATGTGGTCACAATGAAACATTATTACCTAACAGCGCAAAATGGCCTCCGGTGACATACATGAAGAATAAAAGGGCCAAAAGCGAAGAGTGTACTCATACGATTTTTTTTTCCACAGTAACGAACCTATTCTCTGTGTATTTTCTAAACACGAAAAGGAAGCTGAAGATTCGAATACCCTCCCGCTGAGAACTCCCCGCGTGCATATAGGTTTTTAAAATGTTTCGGATTGGTACAAATTCTAAGTGAAGGACTTAAAATAATATAACGAATGGTCAACTACAATAATTATTCCCGGTAAAAAGTATTATTAAAAGTGTTTTATGTATAAAAGAAAATAATAATAAGCGCGAAACAATAACGTGTAATTTCAATTACAACAGTCAAGTACATACCGCGTAGGTTATAGGTTACTTACGAATTGCAAAATCCCTTTGATGGTAAATTGATGCAAGACGAAACATCCGGAAAGTCCAATTTCCGGTCCAAAGGTAATAGCTTTGAGTAAGAAATTGACTATATTAATTGACTAGAATTGTCCAATGGTTGAGCAGAAAAGAAATTGATTCGAGAAATAAAAAAGTTCAAGTTCAGGTAAAAAATTGTAACGGTTTACAGGTTACTGACGAATAATAATTATTTACTCCACACTCGATGAATATATTTTGTTTAGATTAAATCTAATGATGGGATGTTGATTACCGTTGATAGAAGTGGTGTTAATAAACCTTTTAATAGCACGTCCTCAACATCATGCGATCATATTTTATTATTTTATTAATCAAAAAGTATCATAATTATTATTACTTAGTAATATTTTATTATTTTATTATTTTATTATATTAGATCATTAACACCGGACAAATTGACTCAGGACAGTGCCGAAGTCTCGTTTTTTTTTCTTAAAATAAATAGATATTTCCGAGCAGACAGTCTGATGGTGCGCATCCGACTTCCGGTTTGGTTAGGTTAGGCTGTTATACCTCTAGTCCGAACCGAAAAATTCTGCAACGTGTGTACACCAACCGACAAGTTAAGTAGGTACCTAGTTTTCTCTGCTAAAGCTCGACCTACCCAAAGTTCTGACAAAAACTCCGTCAAATAGATTTACATAACTTAATAAATAATTAATTACTTAATATTACCTACTAAATTTCAATAATTATCATAATACGTATTGCATCAATCTTAATATTTGGGGTAGAAATCAAAAACCATATATACCAATATACCATTACCATAGTCCATAGCCCATGAGTACTATCGAGTTATTTATCGTTTCTTTTGGAGAAAAACATCGATGAATCGATTCACGTCATCGGAATAGATCAAAACATATTATTTTCCTGATCATATCTACTATTCAAAATTGCTGCTTAATGCAAAACGAACCTTTTCCATGCATACGAATGATCTTTAGATAATCAAAACGTACTTTTTCCTATTTTGAAAGAATAGGCATCAAGCATTATAGATATACCAAAACTAACTATTTCTGTAGATTATTAAAAAACGCACATTTCTTATGTGATGCCAAAATGTAATATTATCCGTGTTGTATGTATTGGGGAGTAAAATAGTAATCCAAAACGGACAAAAAATTTAATTCAAAAATTGTAATTACATTTGAAATTAAATTAAAAATATAATCCTAGAATATTGAACACATTTGAATCTTTTTAAATAGAAATAACATATTTTAAATAATTGAAAAAAAATACCTTATCTGCAAAATGATTTGTTTATTTATAAAAATTATTTGTTTTTATTGTCAATGCTGAGCTACAGAAAATCACTTCTCCTGAAAGATCAGTATTTTAGCAATAGTACGACCTGGATATTATCTACTCCTCAAATACGCATTGACACAGGAACCCCAAATCAGAA